CAGTGACCACGCGGGCTTCCTGCGGGGCTGGGGAGAAGTTCTGCAGCTGCATGCCAGCTCCCGGAAGTGTGCAGGCTGCTCTTCCCGCTACCCTAACAGCCAGCACGGTACCTAAAACGTTGGTCCATCGCGCGCTGGGGAGGTAGTGGGGATCCGGGACTGCGCCGGCTCCGGCTGCTTGGGCGGTGCATGCTGCCATGGGGAGCAGAGGAGCCAGGCATGCACTGCCCCAGTGTTTTGGCTGGCGAGGTTCGGGACTCCCCCTCCCCCGCACAGGAAGGCATTAGGTGTGCGACATTCCAGCATTTCAGGTACTGTGCCACTATTTGGGGGATGGGAGAGCAGCCTGTGCACTTCCTGGGCCTTGGCATGCAGCTGCAGGATCCCCAGGTATTGGTCCCTGTCCCCTCCCTGCCACAAGTACTCTGCTCAGCACCCACCGGCACCCTGTCCCCTGCACTAGCACCCATTGGCACCCTACCCCAGAACCCTGTCCCAGCACCCACAAGCACAATTGGGGCCACATTAGTGAGGTTTGAGGGGTTTGGAGGGGTTGTGTTTTTGTACCTCACTTGTGTGGCCCTGACGGACTTTTCTGTGAGCCAGTGACCCCCTAACTCAAAACAGGTTCCCTGCCCCTCTCTTAAATAAAGACGACGCTGAAACCATTTGTGTTTGACAATACTTTATTTAAAAATGAAGCCTGGCCAACAAGCACCCAATTGGGGCCAAGTCGTCATCTGGCCACAGCATCAGAACACTCCTGTACTCCTCACCCCGACTCCAAATCTGAGCCTATCATACACTGGAACCCCCCTTCCTGAGCCTCTCACATGCCCAAACTCCTGTACCCTCACATCCACACGCCTGTGACTTGCTCAGCACCCCAACCTTCCACCTGAGCCCAACACGCCCCAGCTTGGAGTCCCCTCCCCGAGCCAGCATCCCCTTCTCCACATCCTCCTGCATCCAAATTCCCTCCCAGAGCTTGCACCTCTCACTCTTTTCCACACCTAAATCCCTCCTTCACACTACAGAGCCCACACCTCCTATTCACACCCCAGAGCCCACACCTCTTGTCTCAACCCAGTTTATATGCGTTTATATTTTTGGGGCGCAAAAAAAGGTACTGAAAAAAATGGGTTCCAACTATATAAAGTTTGGGAAACCTTGGGCCTGACAGTCTAGCCAGCTTTCTATCCATCTTACAGTCCATTTATCCAATCCATACTTCTTTAACTTGCTGGCAAGAATACTGTGGGAGACTGTATCAAAAGCTTTGCTAAAGTTGGCACTGGGGGCTTTGGGAGGAGAAGAAACAATTTGTTTGCATATTCATCATTTGCTTAATGAATATGCAAATATGCAAATAAATTTTACCAGTCCTCCAAAAGCTTGTGAATGGGTTTACAGGTCCCCAGTATCAAAAAGATTGGGAACCACTGGCATGGAGCTTACAGTAGTCAGCATTCCCTGCCCTGTGCTTTTCCTTTGTCAGAACCAGGAAACACCAGTGGTAACTGGGTATACTGCAAGCCTGCAGGGCCTGGAGCAGTTTCAGATCCATCCAGAGTCCTCCAGTGGTAGCAGGTGACACTGCACCCTGAGACATGAGCCCCCGGGGGCTGTGTTGCCAATTCAAGTGATTTTATCATGACTGTGGTGATGTTTAGTAATTATCTTAAAGCCTGAGCTTCTGTGATTATGGGAGAGTCTTAGTTTTCACTTACAAAATCCAAGAAAAAAAAGAACAAAACAACCTCCCCACTCCAAACCAACCAAAGGTAATTATCCAGTCCCCATGGGGAAGAAAAGAACTTGAAAAGATGAATCTGCCAGAATAGCCTGCTGTACTGTGGAAGCATTCCACACTAACCCTTCCCTAGAGAGGGAGGCAGGCACTGCTCCCTCTGCTGCCTTCCCTCAGAGGTTCTGCTAATTAAGGGAAGCTTTAATGGTACCAAAGAGTCCACAGAAGTGTGAGGAGATGGGCTATATCAGAACAGCCCACACTGTTTACATCGGGAGCTACTCAAGCCCCCATACTCTGACACTGCTCTATGGCTGGAGAACCAGATGGGAGGAGTGAGGTAAGCACTGGGGTGGGAACAGAGATGATGCTGGGGCAGGGGAGGAATGGGAATGGATGCTAAAAGGGTGGGCCAGAGCCCACCCTGGGTGACAACCCAGGAGGGATGCACTTTTGTGAATAGGCCTGGTCTACACTAGAAAGTTTCATCACCTAAACTGTGTTATGTCACACACCCCTGAGCAGTATAGTTAAGCCAACTTCACCTCCAGTATGGACAATGTTTGGCTAACAGAAGAATTCTTCCCTTGATCTAGCTACTGCCTCTCTCTCTCTCTCTCTCTCTGTGTGGTTTTTTGTTTGTTTGTTTTTTCTTCAGGATGCAGAACCTGTCCTGTTGACGCAGACAGTGTCTACACCAAAGAGCTACGATGATGTGGCTGTGTTGCTGTAGCATTTTAAGTGAAGACAGTCTCTTACTTAAGCAGCTGAACCATGCTGAGTCCCATAAGAATCTTTGAAGATCAGAAGAAATTCAAGCAGGGTGACTACAGTACCACACAATGCCAAGGTACTGTACCTGGGACTGTATCCTGCAACCACTGTAAATCAAAAGATGTTTCTAACTGTATGTATAGCAAAGATGGGCAATAAGACAGACACAGTTCACCAGGGTTCAATGGGGAGCTGCCGCTATTTTATTTACCTATACCTCTGCAGGTATGGGCACTTACAGCTCTTATTGGCCACAGATCACCATCGTTCCTAGCCAGTGGGAGCTGCGGGAAGTGGCACGCACTGGGAGATTGCTTCCCACGGTGCCCAATTACCAAGAACCGCAATCCACAGCCACTAGGAGATGCAAGCACCTGTACCTGAGGGAATGCAGGTAAATAAAACAATGGCAGCCCATCAGTGACTAAGCCTGTGTAAGCTGGGGCTAAATTACTGCTAGCTATCAGCCAACTAAAAGGAGAGAGCTGTGCTCACTGCAATTGTTTAGCTCTGCAAGATAATTAACTGTTGATATGTAAATACAGCTCATGCCAGGAGGGGGAAGGAATCTGAGGTGTGGCTATGTAAATCCAGTCCAGCCAGGGCTGATGGAGGATCAGTGTTGGAATGGAATGTGGTGTATTGTAACTAATTTGGGGCTGTTGTGGGGGGTCACAAATCATGCTGCCCCTAAATGTGGGAACTGTAAAATATGACACCAGTGCTTGCAAGAGAGAGACCATCATTGTAAGAGGTCTCAGAGGAGCAAGCCTCCCTCCTGCCAGAGTTGAGTGAACTGAGTTGGGGGTGGGGGAGAAGGTCTTGACTCAGCCAGCTTCATGCCTGCCAGGTGTGAGCTGTAAGGCTGGCTCAACCTGCCCCTTTCCTCCTGCTTTTAAGGACAGACCTAAAGCCGACTTCCCAAGGAGTCTTTTTGCTAGTCCAGTGGAAGCTGGAATCTTTGGCCAGCCTAAGTGGTGGCTAAAGAGTTGAAATCACGAAGGCTATGTCTAGATGACATGGCTTCTTTTGTTGACAGCACCGCATCTAGACTGCTGTGCTGTGCTGGATCAGCTGATTGTCAATACAGTGTGGTGGCCATTTTTATTCTAATGAAGCAGGGATTATTTAAATCCCCACTTCTTTGACTATGCCAAATAAACTAGACACAGCCTAAGAGCTGAAATCACTGGTTTGGCCAGGAGCCAGACAAACTGCAGCCAGTGGAGTGGCTGGCGGGAACAACCAACAGGCAGCCAGCGGAGCTGCTTGCGGGAGTGTCTGGTGGGCAGCTGGTAGGAGGGCTGGTAGGGGCAGCACAGAGGTGGCATAGCCTCAGGCTCAAGGAGTAGAGTCATCAGGATGTGTCAGGGTCTGCACTAACTGGACAGAGCTGTAAGTGGGGCGTTTGAGGTGGGGTACGGAGAAAGTTTGGGTAAGTGAATAGAACCCTTACCTTGTTGGACTGGTGAGCCTGAGAGGCAAAAGACACTGCTCAATCCTTTTGTGCTGAGACAGTTACTCATGGGGGCTCCAAACTCTGTTTGTGGTATTTTCCCAAGATAATGCCATGTGACTTCTCTTTCATTAAAAGTTTATTTTCTACACTCAGACTCTGTGCTTGCGAGTGGGGAAGCATTGCCTTTCAGAGGTGCCCAGGGGTGTGTGAATTTCCCAGGCTATTGGGTGGGGGCTTGAGCCAGTTCTGTGTGAGATGATCCCCTAGATATTGAACCCGGCCCTGGTTGCTGCCAGGCCTACCCAGCAGAAGGGTTACACCTGGTTAACTGTGTCTGGTCCTGCAGGCTGGTTATTGCCCAACACTGATGTATAGTACATACCATACCTGAAAATTATAAGTCAATGTATAAGTCATAACTCAGGCTCCATCGACAGGGCCATGTATACTAGTTTATTCGGCATAGTCAAGGAAGCGGGGATTTAAATAATCCCTGCTTCATTAAAATAAACATGGCCGCCATGCTGTGCCGATGATCAGCTGATCTGACACAGCCCGGCAGTCTAGACGCAGAAACCTCATTTCATGAGGCATAAGGGATCAGTCGGCAAAGGCTTCCCCAGCTGCCAGATCCACATCTAGACTGCCTCGCTGTGTCGGATCAGCTGATTGTCGGCACAGCGCGGCAGCCATGTTTATTTTAATGAAGCAGGGATTATTTAAATCCCCACTTCTTTGACTATGCCAAATAAACTAATTTACATGGCTCCATCGATGGAGCCATGTAGTCTAGACACACCCTCAGTGGGAGTCTTTTCTCCCCTCCAGAGTTGAGGTTTTAACAACTATTTGCATTTAGAGACCAGCTTCTTATGATTATTATTTATCTTCTGACAGTGGCAACAGTGTGGCTTCTTTCACAACGGAGAGGAAGATGTAGACACTATCCTAAATAATCTTTTGTTTTCATATTTGATCAAGGACTTGATGCCCATTAAAAACAAACAACTCAAACAGCAAGAGTAATTAGATACTATTTTATGTCACTGAAATGTAGCTGCTTTTAATTATGGTCATGTTGATCACCTAAACTGCCCTGATTCTTTTAGATTTTCCAGGGATTTTAACAACCTCTCTGAGTGGAACATGACATTTAATCTTTCTTTAAAATTTTCATCACTGTTGCCACATACTGGTCATCAGGTCGGGGCTTCCTCTGGCTGCCAGGTTGTAGGAATTTCTTAATTGTAGGTATGTTGCTTATTCTTGCTTTAAACACCTGAAATGACAAACAACAGTAACTCTAAAAGCAAGGAAACAACATCCAACTACTTCACATGCTAATTTTGAAGAAATTAAGGTCTTTACATGAGTAGCAGCACTTAACTCACCTTAATTCCACAGACTTCTTTTGTTGTTATTATTAGTTAACATTTATATGATGGGAGCACCTAGAGGCCAATCAAACCAAGGACCCATTGTGCTTGGTGCTGTACAGTCATATAGAAAATTACATTTCTTGCTTACAAAACCCTTACAACAAATGTACACAGTGGTAATGAGATCAGAATTAGCCCAGGGACTCCTGTTAAATGAGCATCTTGAAGTCTTTGTACTGCACAATTCTATAGTTGGTGGAGCTTTAGTAACAGAATTACCTGTAAGACAGGGAACTTGGAAAGGACTGTGGGCTCTCTCTCCTCTACCATTAAAATGGCTTCAAGCAGGTGTACATCTGCCCAGCTGAATTGGTTGCCAACAAGAAACTCTTGGCCTTGTTGTTTCAAAGCCTATAAAATTCAAGGGAACACAAATGTTAAGGGTATGAAAAGGACATCTGCTGGATAAACATTGGCAACTGAACTCAGTGTACTACTTTCAAAATACAGCAAGGTCATGGTCTGGTTAGCATCTGAGGGTGGAATTTGCCAGAGCACTTGAGTGACTGAAGTGCACAGGTGCCAATGAATCACGTAAGTGCTTTTGCAAAGCCTGCCCTCTGAATACAAAATCCTGGCAGGAATAACTGCAATAGAAAAAGTCTGAATTCTTGTACCAACATGGAAAAGATTTTATAAACAACAAATTGTCCCGGTGAAGAAATGGGTTGTGCCCACGAAAGCTCATGGTGCCCCAGAAGGGGTGGACCGAAGACAGTGATCAAGAGATTTGTCTCCTGCCATCCAACACCATTAGTTATCCCTCTCCATTCTGAAAATGTACCATTTATTCCTACCCTTTGTTTCCTGTCTTTTAACCAATTCTCAATCCATGAAAGGATCTTCCTTCTTATCCCATGACAACCTAATTTATACAAGAGCCTTTGGTGAAGGACCTTGTTAAAGGTCTTCTGGAAATCTAAGTATACTATATCTACTGGATATTGTTAACCCCGTCAAAGAACTCTAATAGATTAGTAAGACATGATTTTCCTTTACAGAAACCATGTTGACTTTTGCCCAACAAATTATGTTCTTCTACGTGTCTGGCAATTTTATTCTTTATTATTGTTTCAACTAATTTGCCCAGTACTGACGTTAGACTTATTGGTCTGTAATTGCCAGGGTTGCCTCTAGAGCCCTTTTTAAATATTGGTGTTATGTTAGCTGTCTTCCAGTCCTTGGGTACAGAAGCTGATTTAATGGATAGGTTACAAGCAACAGTTAATAGTTCTGCAATTTCATATTTGAGTTTTTTCAGATCCCTTGGGTGAATGTCATCCAGTCCCGGTGATTTGGTACTGTTAAGTTTTTCAATTTGTTCCAAAACCTCTTCTAATGACACTTCAATCTGGGACAGTTCCTCAGATCCATCACCACAAAGGATGGTTCAGGTTTAGGAATCTCCCTAACATCCTCAGCTGTAAAGACTGAAGCAAAGACATCCTTTAGTCTCTCGCCAATGGCTTTATTGTCCTTGATTGCTCCTTTTGTATCTCAATCGTCCAGGGTCCCACTGTTTTTTTAGCAAGCTTCCTGCTTCTGAAGTACTTACAAAATATTTTGCTATTACTTTTTGAGTTTTTGGCTAGCTGTTCCTCAAAATACTTTTTGGCTTTTCTTATTACATTTTTACACTTGATTTGGCAGTGTTTATGTTTCTTTCTATTTACCTCACTAGGATTGGACTTCCACTTTTTAAAAGATGCCTTTTTATCTCTCACTGCTTCTTTTACTTTGTTGTTAAGCCATGGTGGCTCTTTTTTAGGTCTCTATGTTTTTTAATTTGGGGTACACAGTAATTCCTCATTTAACACATGCCCGCTTAACATGTTTTCGCGATCCCTTCCCATTCCCCCAGCCGGCCCATTGCCAGCGGCTGCGCAGGGCTTCCCCCACCTCCTTGCAAAGTGGTAGACGATTCACCGCTCGTCACACTGTTGCCCGCTGACTCCCCCTCGCCGGACACCTTGCCCCCTCTCCTCTGCCCCCGCTTGCAGGCCGGCGGCTGGGTTTCCCCCGTCCCCCGCCCCCCCCCCCCCTCGCCGGACGCAGTGCAGGTCCCGGAAGACCCATCACAGGGGCATACGCCCAACCCAGTCTCCCTCCCCTCTCCTCCCCTTCCCTTCCCCAGAGCCAAACACCTCCCCTCCCTGCTGTAACCCAGTCCCCTTTCTCCCCCCACCTTTTCCATTATTTTCAATTGGAAAACTGACCCTGCATCCCCCGCCCCCCCCCCCCCTCGCCGGACGCAGTGCAGGTCCCGGAAGACCCATCACAGGGGCATACGCCCAACCCAGTCTCCCTCCCCTCTCCTCCCCTTCCCTTCCCCAGAGCCAAACACCTCCCCTCCCTGCTGTAACCCAGTCCCCTTTCTCCCCCCACCTTTTCCATTATTTTCAATTGGAAAACTGACCCTGCATAACACGTTTTCACTTAACACGATCATTTTCTGAAACATACCTGTAGTGTTAAATGAGGAATTACTGTGCATTTAAGTTGGGCCTCTATTATAGAAATAGTACAGGGGTGAGCAATAATTTTTGTAGGGAGGGGCACTTCACCAATTTTGATTCCTGGGCCAGCTCAGCCCCCAGAAGAGATTGGGCCACAGGTGGAAAGGGTGGGGCCTATGCAGAAGGGGTGGTTCCCTCTAGGCACCCCATGTGGGCGGGGGAGACTTCACGCTCCCCCTGTGGGACGGGGGAGCATGCAAAATCGCTCGGGCCCCGCTCCTGCCATGCCAGGGTGCACAGTGTCCAGAGGGAATCTCCAGCCATTTTAAACAGCTGAAGGTTCCCTCTGTTGCCATTGGCCCCTGGTGGAAGGAGGAGACTTTGTGTACAACTGCACCCGCAGGCCAATCAGGGTCTGGGGGCAGGAGAGCACATGAAGTCTCTGGTCCCCCTGCCCTGACCTGCCAGGGGCACGCAGCACCCCTAGCGAGAGCAGGAGACTTTGCATGCTCCCCCACTCTCAAGCCCCAAAGGCCTCGGGGTGGGGCTGTGGCAGGGTGGCCACAGGCTAGATCAAACTGTATCTTGCCCACCCCGATACAATGTAATAGGGCTTTCAGAAAGCCTTTGGTGAGGGACCATGTCAAAGGCTAAGTGAGTTGTCCTGAGACAAAGGGGAAAACCCTCTCATGGATAAATAACTAGTTAAAAGATAGGAAACCAAGATTAGGAGTGGTCAGCTTTCAGAATGCAGAGAAGTAAATTACAGGGTTCCCCAAGCATCTGTCCTGGGACCTGAGCTTCTCAGGGTAAATAGTGAGATAGTAAAGTTTGCAGACAATACAAAATTACTAAAGATACCTATTGCTTTCTTTGTTTAAAAATAAAAAGTGCCCTTTGAAGACATGCAGCCCCTTTAAGACACACAGCCCACCCGACTGTCGGACATTTGCATACAAAGGTGTTGGTACGCTCCATTCTTTCCAGGTAAGCTCTGACTGGAGGTGCTGGTACTGCGTACCGGTTAGTACCATCACAAAAAAAGCACCTATATACCTGTGGATGGTTACAAAGGGATCTCATAAAACTGGATGACTGAATGACAAAATGGTAGATTAAATTCAAGGACTGTAGTGTTTGTGGGTTACTTGCTAATTGCCTGAAAGGTACTGTGTGCTGAGCTTGTGATTAAAAATACTGGGACTTTTCAGCTTAGAAAAAGAGGAGACTAAGGGAGGATATGATAGAGGTCTATAAAATCATGACAGGTATGAAAAAAGTGAATAAGGAAAAGTTATTTACTTGTTCCTATAACATAAGAACTAAGGGTCACCAAATGAAATTAATAGATAAATTTATGGAGATTAGGTCCATCAATGGCTATGAGCCAGGATGAGTAGGAATGGTGTGTTTCTAGCCTGTTTGTCAGAGGCTGGAAATGGGTAACCGGTGAAGGATCCCTTGATGATTGTTCTGTTCACTCCTTCTCTGGGGCATCTGGCATTGGCCACTGTTGGAAGACAGGATACTGGGCTAGATAAGCCTTTGGTCTGACCCAATATGACCATTCTTATAATAAGATAGAAAATATCATACTACAATACAAAAATCTATAGTTAGCCCACACTTTCAATACTGTATTTAGTTCTGATGACTCAATCTCATAAAAAGATAATTTAGGGTTAGAAAAAGTAAAGAGAATAACAAAAAAAATGATTAGGGATATGGAACAGCTTTCATACAAGAAAACTCCTATCCCATATATTTATTGTGTCTTGCTGTAGCTGATTTGGGTGCAGTTTGAATGCAGCACAATGAGATTTAGATGTGCAATTCTCATTAACTTCAATTACAGCCGAGAGACTACAAATCATTCTGAACACTGAGCACTTATAATGAGAGGTCTCCTCCTTTTTCAACCATTTGTCTAAATTAGGGAATGTGGTTATTCGATTCCTTTTGTTCACAGACATTTGTGGTCATTCACTTCCTTTTGTTCACAGACATCTGTTCCAATGCCTCCATTATATGTCTTCATTCAAGATACCTAATGACATGACTGTCCATTATTACCTATCACTTACCTTTTCGTAGACTGGGAAGTATCTGGTTGTGGCCCTCTCAATAATTAAGGGAAGATTCCTCTCCTTAGGTGGAGTGAAATCAAAGGTAATGATCATTCCCATGAGATCAGTTGTTCCTTCCACATACATGTCAATGCTGGAGGAAGGCAAGAGAATAAAAGAGCATGCTGAAGTTATTTCAGGTTTCTCTCACAAATTATTAAAACCAATTATTTATGATCAGCTAATGTTTGTATGATCAGCTATTGGGCTGTACTATATTGCTGTTAAAATCTCTCATTCCTTGTTCCCTTTGACAGGCAGTCAAAGATTTTCTGATGAGTGGTTCATTTATTCATTATTAAAATAAACCTATTGCTTATCAAAGGTTAACAGCCCTGAAAGCTCAAGTCCTTTTAATTCACAGAACCATTTGTTCACAGGTAATGGCAGCAAAACCATTGTAGTACTGTATTACTGAACAAGTTATGACTTCTGTTCCTGTATCTAAAAAATTTCACCTGCAGTAAAGCTGAAAATACTTGGAATTTTTTACTACTGATGTTGTGATCCTAAGTTGCTCAGCAAAACACAATACAAAACAAAGGCATCATTAAGGGCCAGATCCTGTTCAGCACCATTTCAGAAACAATTCTTAAAACCCAGCAAGAATTTGCCCCTTATTGCATAACAGCTTTTTCTCTTCCTTTCATACTCAATTTACAGTATTACATAAACTTTAACTGGTAATATAAATATTTACTGTAGTTTATTAAGCAAAAAGAAGTATTACAGTACAATGCTCTCTCTTTCAGATCCTTCCCATACAGATTGTACTTGGCAGCTATATAGTTGAGAATGGCTCTGGTCTGCACCATCTTCATCCCATCAATTTCTACCAATGGTACTTGGTCAAACAGCAGGGCTCCATCTTTGGAAAGGAAAATACAGCAAGTGTAATGTTACTTAGGGCGGGTTAAAAGTTAGGTTGGCCTAGCTACGGCACTCAAAGGTGTGAAAATTTCACACCCAAGTGCCCTGACTGATGCTAATTTAACCTCTGGTATATATGCAGCTAGATCGAGAGAAGAATGCTTCCATTGACATTGCTACTGTTGCTCAGGAGGCAAAGTTCCTATAGTGACCATTTTTCCCCATCTCTATAGGAAGCCCATATACTACAGCACTACTGCAACATAACTACAGCACCATACCTATGTAGCTGTAGCATCTGTGGTGGCCTTGGTCTCCCCCTAGAGACTGAGTTTTTCTCAGTTCCACTATGATAACAATCTAAGTCGTTTGTACACCTTCAATTGTATTTTAGAAGCTCTTCAATGCTTGCCATAAAAATAATGATGTAGGAAAGAATAAACATAAATTAATCCAAATATTTACTCTACAACTAAGACCTAGAATAATGAATTGACATGTTGTTTTACAAGCCTATAGTTAGAGACATAAATACTGGAACACAGGGTGTTGCTGCTTGAAGGAAGTAGTTTCTATCTTATACAGGGTGATTATGTGGACAACCAGTTCTATGCAACTTTATTGCACTATGAAATGAAACACTTTGCAGAAACTGAAGGACCTTTTTAAATCTTAGACTATTGATATAGTTTGACAGTCCTGTGCAAAAAAGAGCAGGCACAAACTTCTGTTAAAATGATCTTTTCTACGTAGAAGAAGAATGCAGGGATTTAGAGCAAATACTCTGCATAACTAGGTACAGTAGAACATATACCTATTTGAGGCCTAATCCTGTATCATTTAATTCAATGAGAGCTTTGCCATTGACTTCACTGGGGGGGAAGAACCAAGTCCTGGAGTATAATCTATATATATAGTTGAATTAATATTTAAATGGAAAGCTCTTTGGGACAAAAAACACCTGTGGGGGGTGCTGGAACAATTTGCTTAGGGTATGTCTACACTACCCCGCTAGTTCGAACTAGCGGGGTAGTGTAGACATACCCTAAGCAAATTGTTCCAGCACCCCCCACAGGTGTTTTTTGTCCCAAAGAGCTTTCCATTTAAATATTAATTCAACTATATATATAGATTATACTCCAGGACTTGGTTCTTCCCCCCCAGTGAAGTCAATGGCAAAGCTCTCATTGAATTAAATGATACAGGATTAGGCCTCAAATAGGTATATGTTCTACTGTACCTAGTTATGCAGAGTATTTGCTCTAAATCCCTGCATTCTTCTTCTACGTAGAAAAGATCATTTTAACAGAAGTTTGTGCCTGCTCTTTTTTGCACAGGACTGTCAAACTATATCAATAGTCTAAGATTTAAAAAGGTCCTTCAGTTTCTGCAAAGTGTTTCATTTCATAGTGCAATAAAGTTGCATAGAACTGGTTGTCCACATAATCATTTTTTGGTAAACATTTATATTAAGGTCTTGTGTCCTCATGACTTCCCAAGAGCAAATCTTACTACACTAAGGGATAAATAAGCATTAAAAAGCAAAAATGTCCTTTTCTACCAGAAGTCATTTCCTTAATAGAAACCAAAAACCATTAACAGTTATGCAAGAGCCAAGTCGTCCCCTCCCATCAGAAGAATATACTAAGATAAAAACATATTGATGGCTGGATTTTCTAGTCACTCCTTACAAAGAGTTCCCTGGCTGCTCAGTGCACTGAGCATTAGTAAACTGAAAGGGATTAATTTATAAGGACTTGTCTATACTTGAACCTCACCTGCAGCTGCATCACTGTAATGCTGCCTATGCCTGTGGGAGGGATTCTCCCATTGCTGTTGATAGTCCACCTCCCTGTGAAGTGGTAGCTAGGTCAACACAACACATTTTCCCTCAATCTAGTGCTGTCCTCACCAAGTGCTAGGTCAATTCAGCTGTTTAAGGTTGTGAATTTTTCACACTCCTGAGCAATATAGTTGGGGTCAATGTAACTTTTGATCAGGTCTTATCAGCAAAAGTAGTAAGGCAGGTCTGCGCTACCACGTCAGTAAAATTTATGTCATTCGGGGTGCTAAAAAAACCCTGTGTGAGATATGTTGGCAAAACTTAAGTGATAGTGCCCACTCCATATGGCTGAATGCAGTGCTTTGCATGTTTAAGTCTCAGAGGGGTAGCTGTGTTAGTGTGTAACTTAGTTCTTTAGCACCTTAGGACACGTCTTACACAGCAGGGCTAAAGTTGAAATAAGCTACGCAACTTGAGCTACGTCAATTGTGTAGTTTAAGTCAAAATAGCTTATTTCAGCTTTTGGGGCTTCCTTCAGAACTGGAAGTCGAAGAAGAACACTCTTCCTCTGATTCCCCTTACTCCTTGTGAAATGCTGGTTACAGGAGTCAGAGTAAGAAGTCCTCCAGCTCAACATTATTTCAGAATAAATGCTGGTGGTGTAGATGTGCACTGTATTATTTTGGAATAAAGTTAGTTATTCTGAAATATTGCTGTTGTGTAGACATAGCCTTAGTCTTAGGCTACATCTACACTACGAGTTTTCTTGGCAAAAAATATGCAAATGAGGGACTCATTTGCATGAGTCAGTCTCATTTGCATATTTTCTGCTGATCAGTTTTTGCGCAAAAATAAGCAGTGGGGACATTTTCTTTTTGCACAAAAACCCCTTTTTCCATAAGATTGGTAAACCTCCTTTTTTGGGGCATAAGGATCTTGCGGAAAAAAGGGTTTTTTGCTCAAAAAGAAAACGTCCATACTGCTTGTCTTTGTACAAAAAGAGATCGGCAGAAAATATGCAAATGAGAGCGTGACTCATGCAAATGAGTCCCTCATTAGCATATTTTTTGCCAAGAAAACTCTTAGTGTAGACGTAGCCTTAAAGTATGGAGGGGTGAGTTATGCCTTTGTGTTTTAAGGAGCAGCCTGCTTTGTCTCTTTCTGGTTTGGGGTTCTTGTGTGTGATTCCGAATCCTAAGAGATAAAGTACTGTTACACTGCAACTACTTATCAGGCTACTTTATGTGTATTCCATGAACATAATAGCGAACCCAGACCACTAGAAGGTTCAATAAATCTCCGTTAATTTCAAAAAATGATCAACACAGGGTACATCTATACAGTAAAAGAAAATCCACAGCATCAAGTCTCAGAGCCCAGTCAATTGATCTGAGCTCACAGGGCTTATGCTGCAGGGCTAAAAACAGCAGCATAATGTTCAGGCTTGGGCTGGAGCCCAGGACCCAAGACCCTCCTCTCTCCCTCACTGCATTTCAGAGCTCATGATAGAGCCTGAGATCAAATATCTAAACAGCTATTTTCAGCCCCGCAGTGCAAGACACTACAAGCCCAAATCAGTTGACACGGGCTCTGAGACTCACTCTGTGGGATATTGTTGCTGTGTAAGAATACACACAGGTGCCCAATCTGTAACTGACAAACCTATTCAAACATACCTTCCCACCTGGGCAAATCCCTACACACCTAAGTCACTGAAACAATAGCCTGCAGTCAGTTGCCAAATGACTCAACATGGAACAGCTATGCCAAGAAAATAGGATATGCTTGAAGATAAACTCTTATTATACGGTAAATATATGCTTGCTTTCAGGGAGTACAGCATTTAAGCTCTGTGCATTAAGGCAAGAATCATTTTTGCATTGTGGGAAGTTATTGAGACATTTCTTTTTGCTCACTCATTTCTATTCTAAGTCTCAAATAATTCCTACTGAATCAGCCCTCAGTATAGCACACACGAGTGACGTGTGGGATCAGAACACTAAACAAGAGGGGACAAATTCAAACTTGTTCCTACTTCCTACAGTGTACAAAATAAAAGCCAAACACACATCCAAGGCTGCAGTAAGATGGGAAAAATCCTGAGGGGCTGTGTGTATACCAGTTAGTCCATAAGCTGTAAGGCAGTTCTGGGAAATGTAAGGCCTGGAGACTTGATGCGGCCCCAACTTGCCTGGATCTGGCCCCTGAGGTCAGGGCTTTACCTCCAACCAGCATTGGAGAGCCTGGGCTAGCACTCTAGCCCCCCTTCCCAGCTGATCCCGGGCTCCATGTGCATCATTTCAAAGTGCACGGAGCCTGGGGTCAGCTGGGGAGTCCCAAGCTGACCCTGGATCTGTGTAGCATTTCAAAGCGGCAGTGCCGCATGGAGTCCAGGATCAGCAATTACTTTACCTTCCTTCAAATCCTTCATTAAGGCTAACTTCCGCCATCATGTCTGTGAAATCCAGCCTGCTGGTCACAACTATGCAAATGACAATTAGATTACGACTACTCTTGGTCTTTCCTTTCCCTTACTCCCATAGGCATCTGACTTTGCCTTTCCAAACTGCCAGGCTTGGCCTTGCCCACACTCGATCCCCAGAATGCCTGCTGTAGGTATTCTGGGGGAAAGTGTTTCTGCTCCCAGTGCTCCTGGCCGGGAAGGCTGGAGCCATGCGGCCTCCTCCCTTCCTGGTGCTGAGGTCGCACAGTGCACCTTCCTCTCTTCCCTTCTGCTCCAGGTAGGTAGGAAACATACCGGTGCACTCTCCTCCCTTCTCTGGTGCTTCGGGGAGGCTGGGGGGCACGTGCATTCTCACCTCCTCCCATCTCTTCCCCCCCTGAGGGGGCTCATGGTCAGTGTGCTGCCCTGCCTCCTCCCCATAGGGGGCTGGGCCTCAGCACAGGGGGTGGGTGATGTAGAAGGAGCGAGAGGCCTGCTTCCCCCAGCCCCAGCTACACCAACTGCCCATATAACTTCCTTCCTTTCTCCCTGTCCTATCCTGAAAGAGCTACAGTACGTGTTCAGAGCATCACACTTTAGGAAAGATGTGGACAAGCTGAAGAGAGTCCAGAAAAGAGTAAAAAAACCAATGAAGAAGTAGGCTGTGCCCATGAAAGCTCATGATACCACCTACATTTTTTGTTAGTCTCCAAGGTGCTGCAGGACTATTCATTATTTTTTAAAGTTTTTTCTGATGTAAAAGCAATTTTAGCTAAACTAGTGCCACTTTGGGTGTAGAAAACCCCCTGTTCTGCATTCTCACCTTTTATTAACTTTTGATACTGTTCTCTTGTTTCCAAAAATTCTTCTTCAAACTGGAAAAGGAAAGATGAAAAAAGTTAGTTACGTTGTTATTTTTCAGGCAGCTTCTTGTAGGAAATGACCCTGCCACAAAAAGCTAAAACACAGAGCAGTACACTAGCATACTAGAATCAATTATGGCTAATCCAGAATGAGTCCAAATAAGAGCACCCCGTTCAATCTCTGAGGATGAACTAGATTCCTTTATAAAATGATGGACTAACCTCCACCCCTGCTGCTGCCAACAGCCACCGGATTGATTCCATTCGTCCTCTTCCATTGAAGTAGGTAAGTTTGGGTTTCCCACACATGTTTCCTTGCTTCTGATTCCCTGATAAATATCAAGCAAAAAGGTTTCTGAACAAAAATGAGTTTTTGCTATTATAGAATGTTTGCTGCACAATGAGGCCTCTGCTGCTCTCACTGAACTCCTGTTACAGGCAGTCCCCGGGTTATGTACAAGATAGGGACTGTAGGTTTGTTCTTAAGTTGAATCTGTATGTAAGTCGGAACTGGCATCCAGATTCAGCCGCTGCTGAAACTGACCAGCGGCTGACTACAGGAAGCCCGAGGCAG